GTAAGTATGGATTTCAGCTCGAGCAGAATACATTCCTAGGACATATTATATCAAGGGACAGAGTATCAGTGAACCCCAAAAAAGTTGAGGCAGTGCTTGGTTGAGAGAAATTGAACTCGGTTAAGGAGATTTGTAGTTTTTTAGGAATGACAGGTTATTACCGCAGGTTTGTAGAAGGATTTTCTAGCCTAACTACTCCTTTGACCTGACTCACAAAGAAGAACGTCAAGTTTGAGTGGAACGAGGACTGTGAAAGGAGCTTTTCAAAATTAAAGAAGCGGTTGACTACTGCACATGTGTTGGCTTTGCCAAGTGAGATAGATGGATACACAGTTTATAGTAATGCTTCCTACTTGGGGTTGGAATATGTTTTGATGCAGTATAGGAATGTCATAACCTATGGGTTTAGGCAATTGAAAAGTCATGAGAAAAACTATCTCATCCACGACTTAGAACTTACCACGATTATCTACGCCTTGAAGACTTGATGTCATTACTTGTACAGGGAGACTTTTCATATCTATATCGATCATAAGAGCTTGAAACACATATTCACTCAAAAGAATCTCAACATGCGTCAGAGACGATGGATAGAACTCCTCAAGAACTACGATTATAACATTTTGTATCTCTCGGGCAAGGATAATGTGGTAGCCGACGCACTCAGTAGAAAAAGTGCAGGTGTGTTAGCTCAATTAATAGTTTTATAATTTAGGGTAATAGGGGCTGCACAACAGATACGACTTTAGGACCTGAAGAGACTTAAATGTTTTGCCCACTTGACTGTTCAACCTAAGTTGATCCAGAGAATAAAGGAAGCCCAATTCGCCGATTCCACCCTAGTAACTCTCAGAAAAGATACAGAATAGGGAGTAAATTTAGAATTTCGAGTCTCTGCCGATGGATTGCTCAGATTTTAAGACAGGGTATGTGTTCTAGGTGACAGTGAGCTGAAAAGGGATATCATGATAGAGGTTCATAACTCAAAATTTGTCATGCATCTCAGAAGTACTAAAATATATCAAAATATACGACCTTAGTTTTGGTAGAACGGGATGAAAAGAGAGGTAACCGACTTTGTTTCCAAGTGTCTAGTGTGTTGGTAGGTCAAGACAGAATATTAACGCCCATACGGCCTACTTTAGCCATTACCGATTCCAGAGTAGAAGTAGAAACAGATCACAATGAATTTCGTGATAGGATTACCTAAGACATTTTCAGGATATGATGCCATTTGGGTAATTGTTAACCAGTTCACTAAGTCTTCTCACATCTTGGCCATTAAGATGACTGACCTCTTGGACAAGGTAGTAAGAATGTATATATGAGAGATAGTCAGGTTACATGGAGTGCCGGTGACAGTAGTATCCAATAGGAACTCTAGGTTCACTTCTCGGTTCCGGTATAATTTTCAGCAAGTCATGGGAATGAAATTATCTCTTAGCCCTCAGACCGATGGACAATCAGAAAGGACGATCCATATACTGAAGGATATGCTTTGAGTTTACGTTCTTGATTTCGGGGTCCATTAGGATGATCATTTATCCTTAATAGAGTTCGCCTACAATAACAACTACCAAGAAAGTATCGACATGGCTTCGTACGAGGCGTTATATGGCCACTCATGCAGATCATTGATCTATTGGGAAGAGGTGGGTGATAGGAAATTGTTCGGCCCAGATCTTGTGGAGGAGACTACAACTAAAATATTTAAGATCAGAAAGAATATCCAGACGACTCAAGTGGCAGAAGAGTTATGCAGACACCTGATGAGGGATTTGAAATTTGGAAAAGTGATCAAGTGTTCCTCAAGTCACCACTTTCAGAGATTAGTAGGTTTACCAAGAGAGGAAAACTAAATCCCCCAGTTTATTGGGTAATTTGAGATCTTAAACAGAATTGGTACCACTGCCTACAGACTAGTACTATCTCCAGAACTATCTAGAGTTCATAATGTGTTTCATGTGTTCATGCTATACAAATACAACTTGGACCCCTCTCATATCTTGACCCATGAGCCCCTTTCACTTCAGGAGGATCTGTCCTATGAGGAGGTACTAATGAGCATTGTAGACCGAAAGAGCAGAGTACTCAACAATGAAAAATTCCCTTCGTTAAGCTCCTATAACAGAATCACACACACAGAGAGGCCACATAGGAGTTAGAATCAGACTTCAGAGTCTAGTATCCCCAACTATTTGATTAAGTGAAAGTGACAAATTAGAGGGACTAAATTTTTTTTAAGAGCAGAGAGTTGTAAGACCTGGGTCTGAAAAATTGGCTCAGGATAAATTTTGTTAATTTAGAAATATAAAAAAAAAATACATTTTATAAATTAATTTAATAAAATTTTTGTTACATTTGGGAAAAAATAAATTAGGGTTGAGATTGAAAATAATTTTGGTAAAAAAAGATGAAAATTTAGGTTCGGGGGGTGTCTTTCAAAGAAAAATCAGAAACTGGGGGTCAGAATGCAAATAAAAAAAATAGTTACGTAGGACCACCAAGTCAATAGCCTCGACAAATCAGAGTGCGCTCCATGGCAAGACACACTAACTCGGTGCCACGTGGGAAGTCACCCAGGCGATCCGCATGCCCCGCGATTAGACAACCTAGAAACGGTCCCACGCGCGTGGACGGTCCGGATTCGTTTTTTTCTTAAGTGCGATCGAACGATCTAGATCAAACGTGATGAATGGTTCAGATTCGTTTATTCTTTAAACATGATTGAACGGTCAAGATCAAATGCGATGAATGACCCAGATTAATGCAAGATAAGTATAAATATTTCATATCACACTGAACCCAAACCCTAACCACCAGCCTCCTGTCGGAGAAGAAGAATCAGTCACTAAAGAAGGGAGCCGATCGCCGACTACCACCGCACTAGAGCCACCTCCGACCGCCAAAAAACGTAAAAATTCTCCTACCCACTCGAAATTTAATTTTGAGCACCCTTCTAGCCATATCATAGCAAAATAAATAACATGTGGCTAGAAACTGCGGGCAAAGCCCACAACCTCCTCCGATAAGTCCCTTCTCGTTTCCTATTTCATGCTATTTTTCTACCGTTGTGTTCTATTTTTTACAAGTTGATCGAAGAAAAACTCTTAGTCACGAAAGTGAGCTGGCAGAGCCACCGCACCCAAAAAATCGATAGGTTTCTGTTTTCTAATTTTTCGGTCAACTGAGGCCCCCTAACATGTTTTCTCGTAGGGATATGTATAAAATCAGCCAAAATCAGCCAAAAACGACCAAAAACAGCCAGGCTGAGGCAAACTACCACCGCGGGCAGTGGTGTCATCACTGGAACACGGCGGTGCTGCGTTGTCGGAACTTGAAATTGGGCGAAAAGAATTTTTAACAACGATTTTAGATTTTTCGAGTATTTTTAGGTATGTGAAGCGTGTTTATTCTCTGTAGAAAAATTCAGGAAATCCGTGGACCGCCAGTAGGCACAGTAGAAAGTTTAATATTTCGAACACCGATTCGGGTAAGAATCTCTCACCCTATTCCCTGTTACAGAATTGAAGCTTAATAATCAATAATATGATATTTTGTAAAATTTAGAAAAAATTTTGAGAATAATTACAAGTCACTAGTGGAGTTGGAACTGATTAGTTGTTTATTTGTCATATTTAACTGATTATTTAATTTTACAATTTTAAATACATGAAAATATATTAGAATGACTAAATGATTCAGTTGTGCTTCCTTAATGTATATATTGATTGTCTTGCGTGATTTACGGTTGATTTGTGAAATTTAAAATTTACATGCAGACAAAATTGCTTGGTTATGTGAATTAATTAATGGTTGTCTTACTAGATATCCTGAGAGATGATGGACGGACCGGATATATAGGAAATCCTACCGTAAATGTTATCTCATATCGGACGGAGTATAGGGATGATATTTTTAGTGTTCATACCGGAAATGTTATGAAAATGACCCGATTCACCCTCATATCGGACATGATATCGAGAGATGGTATTTTTGGCAATCATATCGGACGAAGTATGAGACGGCTAATTAGTTGACAAGTTTAGATATTAGGTTCACGCGTAGTGGGATATCTATATGGATCGCCAGAGATACTAGTAAGCAGCTAAAAAGAAAAGTTGTTTTTGCTCACTTGAATATAAAATCATAATGTTATTTGAATTATTGTCTCTACAGATCGATTTTAGAAATCTCGCAACAGTAAATATGTAATAAATAATTTTCCTTATGATAGATGAATTTACTTAAATTAAAAGTTTAATTAGTTATTTTTATAATTTTTACCAACCTTCAGTTTCTGTATCGGTGAGTAGTATAATTTTCTTATTGATTTAGTGTAGCTCACCCATTCCCTTATTATGTATTTTAGATCAAGAAGATTAAGATTTAGATCCTTATCAACATGAGGGCTGTAAGTAGGAGTCCTCCCGGATCCTATCAAGAGCTAGTGGAGGCTAACCTCCCAATAACATTTATTTACTATTTTCATATGCTATTACGTTTTTTTTTATAAACCACCGTGAAAATGACATTTCTGTATTCTTATTGGACATGTTAATTTATGTGTAAAAAATGTAAACCCTAACGTTATTATACGCTTTTGCATTTAATTTGATATTATTTCCATTTAAGTTTCGGATCTTTACATTATGTATATCACACTCTTATTTTATTTGGCCCAAAATATTAGTTGACTAAAAATTATATATTTTATATGTCATGCTCTTATTTTAATTATTTAAAAGAAATTAAGAAATTTCTTTAGAAAAAACTTAAGAAAGCACTGGTTTTTAATAGTAAATTAATCAATTGAAAAATTAAAACAATAAAAAGAAGGAGAAAATAGAAAAAAAAAATTATGTGAAAAACTTGAAAAATAATAAAAAAATCAATAAAGAAATGAAAAAGCCCAAATCAGTCCGAAGCCCAATGTTTGACCCATGGGAATAATGCATAAATCTTCAGCTCATAACATATTAGCCTCTGATTGCCGATTACCAGAGAGAGATGACTGATAAACATGAGACGCAGAGAATGTTTACCTGCTCGGCTGTGAGGAGAAGCTGCCGACGTGCGAGGACGCTGCAGATGAAGCCGACGAATCCGGAACAGTTGCACAGGTCATGGCGTTTGTTTCTAGAGACAGAGGGGGTTCAAATCGAGGGTTTTCAGAAACTCGAACGGAGAGGGACTTCAAATTGGAGAGGGGGAGAAAGGAACTGAGGGAATAGGAGAGGGAAGTTTTTGAGAGAAATGGAGACTGGAAATCAAAGTTTAGAGAAAGAAATCTAAAAAAAAAGAGCTGAGAGGTTTTTATGAGCGGAAGACTCGAGGAACAGAGTAGAAAAGAATGCTGGTCGCGGAGTCTGCAAATTGGGAAGCCTTGAACATAATGTTTGGCTTTCTCTTTTGACATTTGATCCGTCCCTAGTCTGCAATTCTCACTCTTTTCTATTTTTGATGAGGTTGTGCTTATCTGGATTTTGATTATTCTGGAAAGTACATTGTTTAATCTCTCTACGTGGGCGTATTAATGTTGGCTTGGCTTTTTAGTCCTTTTGAAAAATTTTCTTACCAAATATGATTTAGGATTGTTATCTAAACACACGAGAGATTTTATTTGTAAAACTATTGCATGAACAAAATACACATCCATTGGCATTGGAAACTTGAGAGTACTACAATGCGTTTTCTGAAGCCAGGATTTCCCTCTTTGAGAATCATCTACTCCCATTCAAGTTGGAGCTACATTGAGTGTCAGCTATACCGCTTTCTTTCTGGCCAGAAAACCTCAAGGACAAATACCAGAACAGCAGCAACTCTTGAGTCTCTTCTTAGATTTCATGCTCTTATTATAACTAGTGGAAACTCAAATAACATCTTCATTGCATCAAAGCTGATCTCCCTCTACGCTAGTTTCAGCAGAACACATTTTTCTGATAAAGTGTTTGATTTGGTTCACCCAAAAGACATCTTCCTTTGGAATTCCATCATCAAGGCTCATTTCTCTAGTGCCAACTGTACAAGAGCACTTGATTTATATCTTGCTATGCGATTATTGAATAACTTGCCGAACCATTTCACAATTCCCATGGTTGTCTCTGCATGTGCAGAGCTTTTGCAGGAAGGTTGGGGGAAGTGGGTTCATGGGTTGACTTTCAAATGCGGCCTTTTTGCAGATAATTCTGCCGTTGGGTCTTCATTTGTGTATATGTATGCAAAGTGCAGTTATATGGAGGATGCATCTCTTGTGTTTGATGAAATTCAAGTGAGAGATGTTGTTGCCTGGACTGCAGTTATCATTGGGTATGTGCAGAATGGTAAAAATGAAAAGGCTCTTTGTTGTCTCTGTGACATGCATAGTATTGGTGGGGATGATGAAAGGCCGAATTTCAGGACACTTGAAGGTGCATTTCATGCTTGTGGGAATTTGGGGGGTTTGATAGAGGGTAGGTGTTTGCATGGTTTAGTGGTGAAGAATGGATTAGTGCACTCTCAGATTGTTCGAGCCTCAATTTTGTCCATGTATTCCAAATGTGGGAATCCAGAGGAGGCATGTCTTTCTTTTTATGAAGTTGATGATAAAGACCTTCTAACATGGACGTCAATAATTGGTGTGCATGCTAGGTTTAGGTTCATGAAGGAATGCATATTTCTGTTTTGGGAAATGCAGGCTGGTGGAGTACATCCAGATGGAATTGTCATAAGTTGTATGCTTTCAGGCTTTGGTAATGCCATGAAAGTCAATGAAGGAAAAGCATTTCATGGATTGATCATGAGGCGGCGTTATCTGTTGGACCAGATTGTTCATAGTGCATTACTGTCCATGTACTGCAAGCTTGGGCTTTTATCTACTGCAGAGAAGCTTTTTGATAGAATACAAACTGAAGCTGAAGCTGACAAAGATTCCTGGAATATGATGGTTATTTGTTATGGTAAGATGGGCCACAAAGAGAAGTGTTTAGAATTGTTCAGAGAGATGCAATGTCTTGGAATTGAATCTGACTCTGTTAGCTTGGTCTCTGCAATTTCTGCATGTTCTCACTTGGAAGCAGGCCACCTAGGTCAGTCAATTCATTGTTATGTTGTCAAAAATTACATGGATGGAGACATATCAGTTGTTAATTCCCTCATTGACATGTATGGGAAAAATGGTACCTTGACTACTGCATGGAGAATGTTTAATAGGACGAAGAGAGATATCGTTACATGGAACACGCAGATCTCGTCCTATGTTTATCATGGGAAATCTGATGAAGCTATCGCATTATTTAATAAAATGATTTCAGAAAACATGAAGCCAAACTTGGCAACCTTGGTAATAGTGCTTTCTGCTTGTTCTCACCTGGCTTCTTTGGACAAAGGAGAAAGTGTTCATCATTATATTAAGGAAGCAGGTTATGAGCTTAGTCCATCTCTTGCTACTGCATTGATAGACATGTATGCAAAATGTGGACAACTAAAGAAGTCAAGGGAATTATTTGACGCAATAAAGGAAAAGGATGCTATTTGTTGGAATGTTATGATCTCAGGATATGGAATGCACGGAGATGCAGAGTCAGCAATACAAATCTTCCAACAAATGGAGAAATCTAGTGTTGAACCAAATGAACTTACCTTTCTTGCTCTTTTCTCAGCTTGTGCTTATGCTGGACTTGTTGAAGAAGGCAAGTATCTCTTTGGCAGAATGCAACGTTATTGTGTCAAACCCAATTTGAAACATTTTGCTTGTATGGTAGATCTTCTTGCCCGGTCAGGTAATCTGCAGGATGCTGAAGCTCTAATTCTATCAATGCCAGTATCTCCCGATGGGGGTATGTGGGGAACGATATTAAATTCTTGTAAAATTCACAATGAAATCGAGATGGGGGTACGGATGGCCAAATGTGCAATTGAATCTGACCCGAAAAATGATGGTTACTATGTAATTCTTGCAAACATGTATAGCTCTATTGGCAAGTGGCAGGAGGCAGAGAGAGCAAGAGAAATGATGAAGGAAAGGGGAGTTGGCAAGAGAGCTGGTTGGAGTTCAGTGTAGCACAAAATAAATTGACACATCCATTCTCATTTAAGGTCCATCTTTCCACAGGAATATCATAACTTATGTGATATTCGTCAGTCAAGGTGTTCTAAATATGGCCAGAACTGCAGTTGTTGTTAATTATCAGGTACCTTTTTTTTTTTTCCATTCATGATTTATTTCATCAACTTTAAAGTAGCTTATAGATACTAAAGCAGTTCCTACGTATTCTTATGCCTCTTTCTAAGTTAGATAATTTGGCAAACCAAATCATGCTCCGTTTAAAACACACTTTCTCTACTTTGTCTTCAAGCAAAGCCTGACCTTCCGTGCGTGTAGATAGTTATTGATAGTGACAGTTTGATATCAGAGAAAATCTAAAATGCCTCAGGGCCCAGAGGGATAGAGGGATATTCCTCTATGATAATTTTTTCATAGTAGCTTTGCATACTTTTGAGGATGTTGATTGATTATAATATGCAATTGCTAAATGATTGAAATGTTAAGATTACTCTCAGTGCACCTAATGGAACCTGTTACCAGAAAGGAGCTTGTTTTGCATACGCCATGACCTTGTCCACATGCATGCAAAGCATGAGCAAGAAGCAGGGCGAAATCTTCTTTGGATACTTTATTTGTTGTTCTGTTTAATCAGTGGTTCAGGAAGGTAAACGACTTCAACCTAGATCTTACAAATCCAGTTCTTTGACTTCCAAAATTCCATTCTAGGTGTTGTACGGTTGAGCTGCCATGTCCATGGAGCCCACGAACCTTCCAGAGTTTCTGGTTACTTTTACGTACGTGCAAGATAATTTTCAAGACAAATGCTCAACCAGTCCCGCAAGTTAATTCTCTACTTTTGTGGTGTTTTAGTTGTGGATGAAAAGAGGAGAGGATCGGAGGCTATGTACGTAATGTTTAGGTTTTCATTATATAATTAATCATAGTTTATTAAATATAGTAAGAATGGGCTGATGATAATTTAGTTTAAGATTATCTTCAGAGGTTTTCTTTTCTTTTTTTTTTTTTTGTTGGTTGTAAATTACTAATTTATTCTTTGAATTATATTTCAATTGAAATGTAAATTCCAATTTGATCAGTAAATACATAAACTCTTTCAATCACTTATTTTTTAACTCCTAATTTCTTAGATTTGAATATTTTTAAAGTATTAGAGAAATATTCAAACAAAATTCCTAAAATATCTTGATTTTTTTTTTTTTTTTTTGTTGCCCATTTGAAATAAAGATAAGCACTTATGAATGAGAAATAACTAAGAATAAAATAAAAATAAAACGTTTTTTTATGGGATATATATATATATATATATATATCTCAATATTCATGGAGGATACTTTTCATTCCACTTCCGGTTCCTATTTTACTAAGAATGGAACTTTTATTTTTTCTGACAATAACAAAAAATCTTCTCGGTGCGTGGACTTTTATACGTAATAAATAATTAGAAGTTCTGTTTATCAATATTTATGTTCTTGGACTATAAATAAATGAGTTTGTATTTTATTTTAAAGAGTAATCAGGATAAATTCAGTTATGTTTTTATGTTTTAATTGAATATTTTATAATTTTTTTATTATTCTTAAAATAAAAAATTATTATTCTTACTTAAATATCTGTTAATTCAATTATACGATCTTATAATATCAATAAAAAATCTTTCTTCATCAATTCTTTTACTCTCATTCTTCAAAAATTAGAAAGATACTTTTTTAAATTTAAATTTGTTCATTAAGAATATGAGTTCTTCTGCTTTATTTTTATTTATTTATATATTGTGTATATATATTTATTTTTATGTTATATATTTTAAATATTACTATATAATATATTTTAAAAAAATTAAATATTTTAATCTATGTTAATTTGAATCAAAGAGGACTAAAAAATTTAATCTAATTCGTTGTAAATTAAAGTGATACTGGTTGATTTTTGATTAAAAAATTTTTTCAATTTCAAACATTTATTGTCTGATTTATTTCTGTATAATTGCTTATCTTTATCAATAAATAGTTCGATCTAAATTTATCTTTTTTTAAAAAAAAAAATAGTAATTATTTTATACAAAAATAATCACGCTGTATTTATTAGTAATAAGATAATAATGAATATTTTATTTTTAGATATATAATTAATAGTATTATAAAACTCAAACAAACATGTAAGAGAATTAAAATGAATTATACATTTTTTAAAATTATTATTTTGTTATAAACAAACTTTATATCTGTAACGGCCCCGGAAATTTAAAATGAAATATGTGTATTAAAAAGGTCAAATGCGGAAGCGTAATAAAAATTTTGATTGATCCCTTACACTAAAACCAAAAACGTGCTCAAAGTATAAAAGAACAAACTAACTAAAAGAGAAACTCGAAAATAAAAGCTATAAATATGACTACGGAGTCTTCAGGCGTCCCCTTCGCCGTCTTCCTGCGGAACGGGCTCGGAAACAATGTCTTCCTGATCTGAAATGATTAAATAAGGAATGAGCTACACCAGCCCAGTAAAGACATCACACTATCTCACCGTCACGGAGGTAAAGGTGGGTAGAAAACACAAAAGGACCAATGGAGCATAGTTTACAACAAATTCTTTTATCAACAATAAAATCCTTTATTATCCACTTACCTCGGTGAAATTCATAAAACAATATACGAAAGCAATAACATTATCATCATTATGAAATCATAGGAACTGTATAACATAATACTTATCACGCCTTTTGTATCTCAATTATTTCACAACATATTTTTCCTTATTTACCAGCCTACTAGTATCAATGGGGATCCATAGGGGTCCCGCTACCCGTGAACCTTTAACACTTATAATCAGATTCCAGGGCCGTCCCCATACCCCGTCCGATATGGGCGTCAAAACTATAAACCTCAATACCCCGTCCGGTATGAGGGTGAAACGGGCCGTCCCCATACCCCGTCCGGTATGGGCACCAAAACACATAAGGTCTCCATACCCCGTCCAGTATGAGAGACCACAACCCCGGTAGGGTTCCCTATGGACCCGGTCCGTCCACCATCTCCCAGGATATCTAGTTAGGCTGACCACATTATACAATTATCAATTTACATAACATTCCATTCCTCTTTTCCTCAGTCAGCATCATCAATTCACATACAAACAAGCAAAACAGTAATTTATGCCAAACAAGACAACATACAGCATCGGTTTTTCAGTCATTCAACCTATAATCAATAAAACAGTAAAATATGCACACGAAACTATGAAATGAAAACATCAGACCTCATACTGCATTTAAAACCGTAAAATAGGTCAAATAACAGCAATTCGATAAACACACCAGACTCGGGCTCCATTAGTGACCTTAAATAATTTCACACATCTGTTGATTCATGAAATACCGTTTTATCATTTATTGAACTTTAATACCGTGATAGGAAATAGGGTGAGGGGTCCTTACTTGTTTCGGGGTCTGAATACGGCTCTACAGTGCGCCTGCAGACTGTTCCTAATTTTTTCTGAATTTTTTCTGGGGAACTGAAACGCACTACTGGTACCTGCACGTGTCCCAAAAAATCCCAAATTAGACCCAGGGCCCCTTTCGACCAATATCGCAATTCCGGCACGGCGGCTCCGCCGTGCTCCGGCGTCGGCGCCGCTGCTTACGGCGGCGATTCACCTCGGGTTGGTCGTTTTCGGCCGTTTCCAACCGAATTCGGCCATACTTGCATCGGTCCCTGCGATAAAACAACCCTAGGGCCCTCGGGGGGCCAAAAAATTATGAAAAACTGAAACTTACCGGCGGCGGTGCTCTCGGGTGCGGCGGCTCTCCGGCGAGATTCGTGTTTTGGTGATTTGGCTCCGATCAACCTGTAGAGAAAAGAATGGTGATCACGGTGATATAAAAATTGTATCAAACGGAGGCCGGGAAGGGCCTCATCGGAGGCAAAAACTGAGGAGGGGCGCGGCGGCGCCGCTGGGTTTCGGCCGTGTTTTTCAGCCGTTTGGCTAGGATTTTGGCTCCGATTTGGCCATAGGGGAACTCAGCGTGGAAAAACGAGCCGGGGGTATGAAATTTACCTCGATCGGCGGTCAGAAAACTCCCCAGTGCGGCGGCGGGTGGCGGCGGCCGGCTCCTCCAGCGTCTGGTTCGTCTTCTCCGGCGAAGGCAGACGGCTGGGTTTTTGTGGTCAGGTGTGAGGGTTTTATTTATACCTTTTTGTCTTTTGATCACAGCCGTCCATTTTGATTAAATCTGGGCTGTTCGTTCTTTATTGAATCTTGGCCGTCCGTGCGATTGCATCTGGGCCGTCCGTGCGCACGCTTGATCTGGGCCGTCCGTGCGCACGCTTGATCTGGGCCGTCCGTGCGCGCGGGGACACATCTGGGCCGTCCGATCGCATGCACGCAGATCGCCCACGTGACCCGTTCCCGGGTCGACGTGGTCTTGCCACGCGGCAGGTCCTAGTTGGCCAGGGCTGCTGACGTGGCTGCTGACGTGGCGCTGACGGGGCGTAATTTTTTTAAATTGCGTTTTGACCCCCGGTTTCTGATTTTCTTTTCAAAAATACTCCCAGAATCCTAATTTTCACTTTTTTTTTTTTCAAAATCAATTTCAATTAAATCCAAATAATATTTTTACACAATTTTACAATTATTATTATTTTTATTTTTTATTAAATTAAATTAAAATAAACTAAATAAAATAAAATAAATAAAAATAAAATTAATAATAATAGTAAAAATAATTTAAAAATTATTGGGCGTTACAATATCTTTTTGTTATAATTTACTTTTTAAATTGAAAATTTATTTTAATTTTTAATTTTTATATCAGAAACTAATGTTAAAAATTATTCTATTTTGTTTGTATTTATATTACTATAGAAAATTATAAAAGTTAAAAATTAATTTATAAAACTTAATTTAAAAATAATATTGTAACAGAATCTCTTGTATATAATTTTACTACCTTGGTAAGGAATATAGCAATACATATAATATATATATATATAACTCATAAATCTGAATGTACTGAATTTTCGTTCTGAGAAGAAGAAAACTTTTTTATTTATTGACGAATTTATTATACAAATAAATAAATAAATAAAATCTCTCGCATATTATTTTTTATACAAAAATTTCAAGTTATAAATAATTCATTAATCCAATTCCTTGCATGTCAAATCATGCTCTGATAATGAGGAAAAGTAGTTATTCACTTTTCAAAAATCTGTTTTCGTCCAACCAGGATTTGCCACGTCTAAAATATATTTTCCTTTCTGCTCTTAGTTATTTTCCTTTTTACAATTAAATACTTGTTTGTATAAATACACCCAAATGATTTAATTTTAAATAAATCAAAGGCAAGATTAATACAATCTTTGACATTGACATTTCTCTTTCTTTGTCCCTTTGAAAATATTGATAATAATTTAATTCTAACGTAAAATAAATTTATTCTAATTAATAATAAACATATATCGAGTTATTAGAAAATAAGATAGAATTAAATTATTTGTAAATTTAAGTCTCTAAACCCTAATTTGCTTAACAAAGGTTAAATCTTTTAAACATCTCAAACCAATATATAAAATAAAATTTTAATTAATTAAAATTAAGATTATTATTTTTTTCTCTTCTTTAATTTTATTTAATATAACCAAATTCAAAACTTATTTTTTTTTTCTGCCTAAACAAATTAGAGTGGGATCCAAATTTTATTTTTTAGTTTCAATAGTTAATTGGACAATTAATTTTTTTTTAATAATAATAATAAAGTAAAACGAATATCCGAATTGGAAACCGCGATCTTTACTTTTAATTGGAACCTTATTTACTCTCATACTTTACTAATCATCTTTTCTTTTAGTTTCTTGTCTTTTCTCAAGTCTTCTTCTCCCTTTCTTTGTCTGCATTTTAACTCCTAAAATGCTCTCTCTTCTATCATTCTCCATTGCTGCCCCTCTTTCTTCTTCATCAGGTTCCCTCTTCCAAAACCCCACCATAAAGAAACTCTCTCTTTTTCTTTTTCTTTTCTTATTCAACCTACTATACCTTTTCCTTTTGCTGTCTGATCAACAAACTACTTGGCTCACTCACTCACTCACTCACTCACTCTTTTTTCACGCCTAACTTCATTTTCACTACTTCTTATTCGATCTCCTTCCCCAGAACAAGAGCAGCATCCATGACGGCCTGTTTTAGCTTCACTGAATCGCGAGACAGGTGCTACCGGTACAGCTTCTCGCAGGCCGGATTCCGATCGTCGACCACGGACCTTGGCGACGGAACGATCATGCACTGTTGGATACCCAAAGCCCACGACGAAACCAAGCGCACGGTGGTGCTGATTCACGGAATCGGCGCCAATGCAATGTGGCAATGGAATTACTTCGCACAGCGGCTACTGCCCCGGTTCAACGTCTACGTGCCGGACCTCCTGTTCTTTGGAGATTCCTACACGACCCGACCCGAGCGCTCAGAGTCGTTCCAGGCCCGCTGCGTGATGGGCCTGATGGAGGCCCATGGAGTCCGTAGGATGAGCGTGGCGGGAATCAGTTACGGGGGTTTTGTAGGCTACAGCATGGCGGCGCAGTTTAAGGAGAGAGTGGAGAGGATGGTGCTATGCTGCGCCGGGGTGTGTTTGGAGGCGGAGGACATGGACCGCGGACTGTTTAAGGTGAAGAGCGTCCATGAGGCCACCGGCATTTTATTTCCGCAAACGCCGGCTAAACTCAGACAGCTTTTGCACCTCGCCTTCTATAACCCGCCTAAAGGAGTCCCCTCGTGTTTATATAGCGAATACATTCTTGTAAGTTGTTCTTGTTTCTCTTTTTCTCTCTAGCCATGTACTAAATTGTGCTGCTTACTGATGATTAGTTGCTAAGGTTAAATTTCTCATTAATGGCTAAAAAGCTTCCGCCCTCTAGCATAGACAAGGTACTAAGCAACAATGGCATGTTCTTTTACCATTGACTAATCCCTGGCGATGCCCTTGGTAAGGTGATTAGGTCAATGAAGCAGCCCAAATGATGGTTTTGTTCATAAATCTTTTTATTGGTTATCACTGTATGCTATTGTACTGTATGTAGTGAATTGTTATTGGCATTTTATCTCTCCATTTCTGACAATTTCATTCAGCCGCCAGATTCCTTCTTCCCCATTGCTTGTTTTCCTGAAATTTTGGATTTTGTTTTAAAGAATTTGATTTATGAACAATAGCATTTTCATTACCTCCTGGTTGCCTGGCTTACTTCACTACATGGCAGTTCTGCTTGTTTATCTTTGGATTTAGATCGTAAAGCTTAAACTTCGGTATTTGTGAAGGCATTTTTTAAGAATTCTTTTGGAGTATAGTATGCCTAAGTTGTTCTCGCTCACCCTTGTGCAACTGGTCATGCCTATTCACGGGTAATTTTCTCCCACTCCTCTCATTACTGAAGGCATGGAAAGTGCTGATGACATGTCTGATCTGGTATTTTTGGATTCTCTTAAAGAAAATAATTTGTTCATAAAACATTCATGAATTTGTGGTTGCACTGCTACCTTTGCAAATGATGGTAGTTATAGAGTTTCCTGTTAAATGGCCCAACAAGTCCTATTACAAGTTGTAAAATAAACTGACAACTTACTATTCCATGTTTTTGTTACAACTGTCTTCTCCCTTGAAATGGATATAGGAAGGACTTGGTTGGCAGAAACCCAAATGAAGATTTGGCAGGATGATGCAAATGCCAAATTTAGGAACCTAATTTATTGTATTTTGCTTTCGACTCTGTGATCGGATGATTACAATTCTTTAAAGCATCATTGTTTATTCTTTTAATTGAATATTTTGAGTATGATTCATGTCAAAGCAGTCTTTGAAGAGTTCCCTCTAGTCCTCTCAAATGCATACCTAAACTATATTGGGGCTGTCAGTCTTTGTAGTAAGCTGGTTGCTTTGTATTGGTAGCGGTGTAGAACAGATGTTTTCCTTCCCCCTGGTCTGTCCATGCAGAGTTCTTGTCCTGACTATAGTTTGTTATCACTTGTAATCTAATGTGAGGTTGGATGCTTATGATATTTTTCTGAAACTTATGACAGCCTTGGTTTCATGCACAGGTTATGTGTACAGAATACATTCAAGAGAGGAAAGAACTGGTCCAAGCATTACACAAGGATAGAAAGCTCTCCGATCTTCCCAAGATAACCCAGGTTATTTCACAGTTCATGTTATAATCAGCGCATTGTTTAGCAGTGTCCAGCAGATAAAGGATGCTTAGTTTGCTCTCTTCTTTTTGCTCTGTGATTAATTTTTTAAGGTGTGATTTCTCTTTGATGCAGCCAACATTAATAATCTGGGGAGAACATGACCAGATTTTCCCACTGGAATTGGCACACAGATTGAAAAGGTAATCCTAGAGATCTAGCATGTTATTTTGACTCCTTAGTTTTATTTTTTATTTTTCTTGCGAAAACAGATTGAATTCCCTCAATGCACAAAATTCGGAACTTCCAATTTAAGTTGCATTGTTCAATTTTTATTCTATTCCCAGTCAATTCCTACTTCTAATTTTATATTAGTGTTAACATGCGTAATTAGAACAACATTTGTTGTTTCTAACTAACTATAATCTCAATTTGAATTCTTTGATTGGAGGAATTCAACTCTTGTGTTTCAAATTCGGAGTTGAATCCACCATCGAGGAGTTCAAGAAGTGGTGTTGATAGATCAAGCACAACAAGTATTCTCTAACAATTGAATGATGCTAATATAATAATCAAGACTAATATTTTACAAATAGAAATTGTAGGAAATGAATGAGATTAAACCAGACACGTAAATGCCTCTTCTTCTGATCTAAACAACTTTACCCTCTGTAGCAACCAAGAAGAGTATGAGTTGTTGGAGTAACTTGAAGTTATTTTTCTCACTATACAGCCATCTTGGGGATAATGCACAGCTGGTAATCATTAAGAAGGCAGGGCATGCAGTCAATGTGGAGAAACCAAAAGAAATGTACAGGCATTTGAAGTCTTTCCTGGTCGATCCATTGCCGCCTTCACTTGAGAAAGGAAACCACAGAAATGGCTGCAAGACAGATTAAAAGGAATGGTGAGGGAAAAAAAGGTATACCGAAAAAAGAAAGACCCGAACAAAGAGAATTCTATCTGGTTTTCCTGCTAATCTAAGTTGAGCCCTTCTTTGCGTGACTTTGTTGTTTTTTGTTGTGGATCGACATGAAGAGTTTGGAGTTTGTGACCAAAGCTGTATTTAAAATACACGTAAACAAACACTGGAAGCGGGAGGCACCTCTTGCTAAGATTGAGATTGAGATTGCTTTGCTGGTTACATGCGGAATCCGATTCCACAAACCTGACCTCTAGTTTGCTTATTTCTCAGTGCAAAATATTTGGTATTGTTAGTTGGTCATGGGCTAAATTGGCATGCAGCCAAATAGTTAAATTTGGTGAAAGCTCATTTTGAGATTCTTGGTGAAGCTGATTTTTTTATCCGAGCAGTATTATACCCATGATTCATATGTACTAATTAAGCTACAGTTTGTTTAGATAATTATGATTGTTGTAGGAATCTATGTGATTCTTAACATGGAGGCTATATATATTTGGTTCAAATTCATTCCTAATGTTTTATCATAATTGTCATGTAGTCTTGATATGGTGCCAGTGGATTTCTTTAATGATTAGTTCAATTGTCATGTAGTCATGTTTTTGAATTATTTAAGGATACGTCTCTGATTTTTGCGAGCTGAGGAGAAACAGAGATGTAGTTAAAACTTGAATGGAAAGTGAAAGTTGAAATTCATTTCTATGTTGTTTTTTTTTTATTCTTGTTTGAAACTTAAAATTTCAGTTGACAACAATCTATTTAGATTTTTTGTGGAATACGGAGAGCATTATTTAAATTTTATAATTCACATTTTTAAAAAAAAAAAAAATCATCTTTTGATTAGAATGTGTAAATAAATTTCATAAACTCTTTTAACTTTCTTTCCTCTTTTTTCCATGAATTAATTCTCTATCTCATATGAAGAAGAAATAAATTCTGAATAAGAAATAAGTTTGTAATCTTTTTTTATTTTTTGTCATGAAAAAGTTAACGAGCAAGCCAGGAAGTCTATGAATTGATTTATTTGAATTTAAATTCTAAAAGAACAATAATTAAGCAAGAGAGTAAAACAACTTCCCAGCCAAAAATTCCCTGCAAAAGCCACACCATTCCGACCCAATCAAAGCCATACACGTGGAAGCTTTTTTTTTTTAACTTCCATTTCTACCTTCCTCCGCCGCAAAATTCACTTGTCTCCATAAATTTTATTTCTTAAATATGACAAAAGATTTAGATTTGGATTAATTATCAAAAACACAAAAAAAAAAAAAAAATCATTTCTAACAATTAAGATTAAACCTATTAATTTCATTTTCAAATAATATATTATATTATAATTTTATTTCTGAAAATCTTTTTCTTATCAAAATTTATTTCAAAACTTTTCTCAGAGATGGAAATAATATTTGTGAATGTACATTTTTAAATAATTTCATAAGTTTAAGAATTTAATTAAAACTTAAAACTTACTTGAACTAGCAGAGAAGCAGACTTACATGTGATTGCAGAACTGGTGGAGCTCCAAAGATAATTCTGATCCTGTGTATTCTTGTTACAATCCGTCGTCGTATTAATACCATTCCTACACACACAAACAGATGATTTCTCACCGCCCCCCGGAGAATACCCACACACACCACCCCTCATCTCGCACGTGTTGCACTTTTCGTCCATATAGAAACTGTCAAAAGCCCCATGTGTGTACTTCAACGCCACCCCGTACTCCCACCGGGTCGGGTCCGTCGGGTAATCCCCAACCGACACCACCGACGCGAATCCCGAACAGCCCAGCGCCCGCACCTCCAACTCCCCCTTCCCGTTGAAGTTCGCCGGCGAGTAGACGCAGCAGGTGTTCGTCGGCGGGAAAAGCGGCAGACCCAGACCGATGACGGCTGGACAAGCATAGATGGAGGCGCAGAGGTGAGCGGAGGAGGCGTCGCAGATGGGCGAGCCCTTGACGGTGAGGGCGGAGGTGGGCGGAGCACAGGCGAGGAGAAGGAAAGTTGATGGGCCGAGCTGGAAAGGACTGGCCCAGTCGAGACCCAGGTTGGGTGATTGTTGCATGGAGGTGCACGTAGACATGGAAGGAGGAGTGATTGTTAAGGTGGAGGTGGAGTAGGATATTGAGGTGATGGGGTAGGAACCGGTGTGGGTAGTGAGGAGGAGCTGGTTGGAGTCGGTGGAGCAGGAGACGTAGGGGTAGAACCGGGGGGAGCCGCAGCCGTAGCCCGACCCAAAGGGGTATTTGAGCTGTAAAGAGCCGCATGTGTCATGGCAAGGTGGGTTTAGAGCTAAAGAGTAGTCCCAGGGGTTGAAGATGATGATGAGGAAGAAGATGATCCAGGAGGAGGAAGGAAGGAGAAGATGTTTCAGTAGCTTCATTTAGTCTTACCTTGTGATTTATGTCTCTGTAAGGTGTAATACGGATATGGTTATATATTTAGAGTAACTCTCATGTTCATTTCCTACGTGTCTA